GGGGGAGGGGAGATTTTGAAACTTGTGAAATCCACATTGATACCATTGGGCTGCAGGGTTCCCAAGCGGAATATGAGTTGCTGTTCCTGCAACCTTCGGGTGGCATCGTTGTGGCACTGCAGGAGGCCCAGGATGGACATGTCGTCTGAGGAATGGGAGGGGGAGTTGAAATGGTTCGCGACTGGGAGGTGCAGTTGTTTATTTTCTACACTGATACAGGCACACACTACACTTTTAAATCACCATAGATTCTCAACATACAAACTGACTTCAAAGCATCCCTAGATCTCAAACTCCAAAGAACAAAAACACACAAATTGCACACTTTTAGTTCGGTGCTTTTCCCTTTCCTTAAACATTTTCCTGAATCCCATCCATGTCGCAAAAAATGTCTTGGATCACAAAGTGTACCCAAACAGTTCTTCAGATTTGGTTAAATGTAGTTAAGAGAAGACTCGACAACATAAATTTACTTAAATATAAACATTTCTTAAATAAATAAAATGATTAAAAAGGAAGGAAAAAAATAAGTCTCCCACTCTTCTGCCCATTGGGGACTCCTCAATCGACAGCTGTTCTGGAGACTGAGGTTAATTCCTAGAACCGTTCACGATCCCAGTCTGAGGGGAAGTCCAATGATTCAGAATGAAACTCTCTCTCTCGTACAGTGTAATGAGCTGCAAGTACAGAAAAAGCAAATTGATTGTGCTGTCTTCGGCATGTACAGGAATGTGAGTCACTCATGACAGGACTGATTCAAGGTCATGCAGCTGTCGAATATCATCAACAATTCTAACCCATCCTATACAATGTGAGTAACACAAATATTGGAACCAGAAATAAAAGTCTGAATTTAACCAACAATAGCTATGGTTTCAAACTCCAGTTGTTGTTTGTCCCTGAAACAATTCAGAACATAAACGATAAAACAGACTGTATTCTGTAATCAAACAGTTCACGTTTGACTTCTTAAGACTATGAGATCACAAGACATAGGAACATGTCAGCCATTAAGCCCATTGTGTCTGCTCTGCCATTCAATGAGATCATGGCTGATCTAATAATCCCAAACTCCATTTTCCTGCCTTTGCCCCATAACCTTTGATTCCCTTGCTGAATAGCAATCTGTCTATCTCAGCCTTGAATATACTTAACGATCCAATCTCAACAGCCCTCTGTGGTAATGAATTCCACCAATTCTCTACCCTCTGAGAGAAGGATATCCCCTCTTGCCTCTGCCTTAAATGTACAGCCCTATTTATGAGATTATGCCCACTTGCCCTAGACTCTCTTACAAAGGGAAACAGCCTTTTTGCATCTACCCTGTCTAATCCCCTAAGAATCTTGTATGTTTTAATTAGGTCAACTCTCATTCTTCTAAATTCCAGTGAGTACAGGCACAACCTACTCAACCTGTCCTCATAAGACAGCCCCTCCATAGTTGGTGGACAGTCTCCATGCTAGTAAATCTTTTCGTAGATAAAGCCAAAAATCTTTCATAATATTGCAGCTAGACTAGTGCCTTGTAGAGTTTTAGAAAAACCTTCTTACTTTTATATTCCATTTCCTTTGAAGTAAAGGCCAACATTCCATTTGCCTTCCCTATCACTCACTGAACTTTGATGTTGGCTTTGAGTGATTCACAAATAAGAACTTGTTCTGTTCTATAGATTTCTGTGTTCTTTCACCATTTCAATAAAGTTTAGCTTCTCTATTTTTCCTGCCAAAATGTATAATCTTACATTTTCCAACATTGTATTCCATCTTCCAAGTTTTTGCCTATTCACTTAATCTATCTATATCTCTCAACTGAATCTTTGTGTCATCCTCATCATTTGCCTTCCCACCTATTTTGTGTCATCTGTAAACTTGGCTACAGTAAGTTCACTTTCCTCATTCAAGTCATTGATATATATTGGGATTAATGGTGGCCCCAGCACTGATCCCTGTGTCACTCCACTAGTTACAGTTTGCCATCCTGAAAATGTGCCCTTATCCCAACTCTGTCTTTTATGAGTTATCATTTATTATCCATGCTACTATACCGTCACCAACATCATGGCCTCTTTATTAGTCTACTGTGTAGTGCATCATCAAAAATCTTCTGAAAATCCAAGTATATTACACCTATACTCCCCCTTTATCTCCATGATTGTTACCTCCTCAAAGAATTGTAATACATTCTAATATATTCTAATTCTAATTTCCCCTTCATGAGCCCATGCTGACTCTACTTGATTATACTATGGATTTCTAAATGCTGTGTTATTAAATCCTGTCTATTAGACTCTAATATTTTCCCAATAACAGACATTAAGCTAATTGTCTGAAGATTATCTGATTTTTGTCACCTTCACTTTTTAAATAAAGTTGTACTGCTGATGTTCTCCAAGTAAATTTGAACATTTGAGGAGTGTTTACATTATTCTTTACCTTGCAAAGCATTGATATTGAATGTGACACATAAAATATTGTTGAGAAGAATCTCACACCTCAGTGATTGAAATTGAGGGTAATGGCGATAAAGGGCAGACTGCATTCAGAACACTGGAAACCTATTCAGTCCTTATACCACCAATAACCAAACTGGTTGAGGGTACTTTTTCAACACTCTTCAATGTATTAAAGAGGCTCATGTGCACATTCTGCTAAAATGCATATGAATAAATAACATACACACACACAATCAGATCCCTAATATTATGCCCTGAACGAATGTATGAAATTATCAATTTTAACATAGTGTGCCTGAAAATGGTGGCCAAAAAATTGATGCGCAGGCAAATAAACATTTAATGTTAGCAGTGGTTTTGCTGTTCAAATTGAGATGTTAAAAAGTATCCATGCTCCATTCAGACCCAGGTATCAAAGAATCATTATTGGTATCTGTGTGCCTCCTTAACCAAACATATTGAACAATTCTGAAATTAATAGCACAATTATTGAAAAGGAAGTGCAATTTGCTGTAGATGAATTCAATGTCAAGTTAAAGGCAAAAAGAGAGATAAAGAGAAGAAAGATTTAATTAAATGGAAATAAAAGTTTTTGTCACTTTACTTCTTAAAAATCTCCAGCAACAATTAAAACCTGAAGGATGAGACTCCATAATGGTAATGGTTAATTTTCAGTGCCTGTGAAGTTGACTAGAAATCTAGGAGCATAGGAATTAGGAGCAGGAATAGGCCATTCAGCCCCTTAAACCTGGTCCACAATTCAGTAAGATCATGACTGATTGCTTTATGGTGTCAACTTAACATTTCTGTCAACCATTACTCTTGAACCCTTTGTCTATCAAAAATCTATCTAATGCTATCTTGTTTTAACTAATTTCTCAACAGTTCTGGTCACCACATTATAGGAAGGAAACGGAGTCTTTAAAAGGGTGCAGAAGAGGTTGGACAAGCATCAATTGTTTTCGCTAGAGTGTAGGAGGCTAAGGGGTGACCTGGTAGAAGTATATAAAGTTATGAAAGGCATGGATAGGATGGATAGTCATCGTCTTTTTCTCGGGATGGAAAAGTCAAATACTAGGGGGCATACGTTTAAAGTGTTTGGGTAAAGTTTGAAGGAGATGTGCAAGGCAAGTTTATTTTTTACAGAGGGTGGAAGGTGCCTGAAATACACTGCCACAGGAGATGGTAGAAGCAGATACAGTATCAATGCTTAAGAGGCTTTTAGACAGACACATGAACATGCAGAGAATAGAAGGATGCAGACCATGTGCAGGCAGATGGGATTAGTTTAGAATGGCATCATGGTTGGCACATACATGGTGAGGCAAAGGGCCTGTTCCTGTGCTGTACTGTTCTATGTTCTGTTTTGTGTTCTTAATTAACCCAACCAGCATTATATTCTGGGAAACGAATTCCATGATCTAAGAACCATCAAAGAGAAAAATACTCTCCTCTCCATGATGAAAGTGAGACTCCTTATTCTTGAATCTTGTCCCCTGGTTCAGTTCTCCCCCACATGAGAAAACAACCTCTCAATGTCTGCACTGTCAAGGCCCCTCCGGACTTTATATAAAATTACCTCTCATACTTCCAAATTCCAACAGGTATAGGTCTAATTGTTCAATTTTTCTTCATAAGACAAGCCTTTCATCCCAGGAATGTGTCAAGGGGAACTACTCTGAACTGCTTCTTACTCAATTGCAATTTTTCTCAACTAAGGACACATGAAGTCTAAGTTTGGCAAACAATAGCCATGGTGTCCATCTGCCATTGTTTTTATTCATTTAACCTGCTTATAATTCCTTTGCAGGGGTTGGTTAGCTCAGTTGTGTATATGGCTGGTTTTCAACATAGAGTAGCAGCAACAGCATGAGTTCAATTCCCACATCAGCTGACGATGCCAGGAAGGGTTCTTTTTCTCAATATTTCCCCTCATTTGTGCTGACCCTCATATTAAACAACCACCAGTCATCTCTCTCTCTAATGAAAAAGCAGGGACTGTGGTGACTTTACCTTTGCAAACTCTCCAACTTTTGTGGACAACATACTTTCTTACCTGTCTTTGTGTCATCAGAAAATTCAATTACCATACACTTGGTCCCTTCATCTAATTCATTGAAATGGAAATGAATAGTGATGTCCCAGCATTGATCCCTGCAGCATTTTACAAGTTATAGCCTGCCAATCTAAATTGCAGTTAAAATGGCAGCAATACAGTCATGTATCTGGTGGGCAGGTATAGAAAATTAAGCCACTCCAACCACTCAATTGGGAAACCACACAGAAATTTGCTATTTTCACAAAGTTAATGGCAGAATATTCAACAGTAGGCTTAGATGTTTTGGTTTTTTGAGCATTTGCCTCTCATCTGAAGTTGATATGGCAATTCCTTGCAAATAATAGAAAGCATTATTAGCCTCGCCATTATCTTGACATCGATTTTTGAGAAAAAATTGCTGAATCTATTGTTTTCTTTGTTTCAAGGTTTCCTCACAGCATCCATACACTGAGTATTTCATTGGGAAACCACATGTATGGACAGTAGATTTCAATAACACAGAGGAACTGGCATCGGCTGTAAGGACAATTTTAGCAACCAAGGTATGGTTATATTTCAGGACAATAGAAAGAAAGAAGAAAGAATTGCATTTAGAAAAAAACATTGCATAATGATTCATGATTCCATACTGGATTGATTGGTTAAAGCATAACATCTGAAGGTCTCAGGGAGGGAAGACCTATATCTACAGGTCTCATTACAGCCCTAGTAACAATGTCTAACAAACTAATGTAACTTGTACCTAATTGCTCCCATGATGTAAACCACATCTTGTTATGACAAGAGTTTCTTGTTGAGACTCAATAGTGATTGATCCTCTACTATTGTAAACTAAATAGGCTCTTAGATGAAGTCAAAGGAAAGAGGATTGGTGGCAACATCATTCTACCCACAAACAACACATTCACAAACACCAGATATGCTAAAGAGTTTCACAGCCAATTGCATGCTTTTCAGTTGTAGTCACTGTTGTGTTGTAGAAAACTCAGCTGCCAATCTACGCAATAAGCCCTCACAAGCAACAATGTGATGATGACCAGGTAATCTGTTATTCAATGTCAAGTCAAACACAGAAGGGAAAATAAAGAGAAAGATTGATTAACTTATTGATTGTTGTCACATGTACCGAGATTGATTGATTGATTTATTGTCATGAGTTGTTTTGCATGTTGTACGGGCTGATCATACCATATAAAGTGCATCAGTATAGCAGAACAGGGTAATAGGAAGTACAGCAGATGCTGGAATCAGAATCAATACAGTGTGCAGCTGGAGGCACACAACAGATCAGGCATCATCAGAGGAGCAAGAAAATTGACATTTCAGGTTGGGACCCTTCATCAGGACTGGGGAGCGAAAGGGAGCTGGGAAATAAATATAGGGAAAAAGGGTGGGGCTGGGACAAGGTAGGTGGGATGGTGATAGGTGGATGCAGGTAGAGGTAGTGGGGATTGGGCAGTGGGAAAGGTGGGGTGTATAGTTGGGGAAGAAGATGGACAGGTTGTGTCAGGTCAAGGAGGCAGGATGAGAGGGAGGGTTGGACATGGGATGAAGCTAGGGATGGGGAGATTTTAAAACTGGTGAATTCTATATTCAGGCCATCGGGCTGTAGGCTCCCGAGGCAGAATATGAGGTGTTCTTCCTCGTCTGCGTGTGGCATCACTGTGGCACTGTAGGAGGCCCAGAATGAACATGTCACCAAGGGAGTGGGAGGGGGAGTTAAAATGGTTAGCGACTGGAAAGTGTTGTTCATTATAGTGTACAGAGTGCAGATGCTCTACGAATCGGCCCCCGAGTCTATGTTTGGTTTCATCAATGTAAAAAGGGCTACATTGGGAGCAATGGATACAGTAGACCAGGTTGGAGGATGTACAGGTGAATCCCTATCGGATATGGAAAGTTTGTTTTTGGCCTTGGATGGAGGTGAGGGGGGAGGTGTAGGGGCAGGCATAGCACCTCCTGTGGTTACATGGAAAGGTGCCGGGGCTGGTGGGGTTAGTGGGTAGTGTGGAACAGACAAGGGAGTCGTGGAGTGAGCAGTTCCTACGAAAGGTAGATAGGGGTAGGGAGGGAAATATCTCTTTGATAGTGGGTTGGATTGTTGGTGGTGGAAGTGGCAGAGAATGATACGCTGGATGCGGAAGTTGGTGGGGTGGTATGCTAGAAGCAGGGGACTCTTGTCTTTATTTTTGTTGACGGGAGGGGGTTTGAGGGCAGAAGTGCAGGAAATGCTAGAGATGTGGTTGATGGCATTTTCAATGAATGGAAGGGAGAAGTTGTGGTCCTTGAAGTAGGAGGATATCTGCGATGTCCGGGAGTAGCACGCTCCATCTTGGGACAAGATGCGGCAGAGGCAGAAGATTTGGGAGTAAATGATCACATTCTTGCAGGAGGTGAGAGGAGGTCTAGGCATGGTAGCTATGGGAGTTGGTGGGTTTGAAATAGATCTTGGTGCTGAGACGGTTACCAGAGATGGAGACGGAGAGATCCAGGAAGGGGAGGGAGGTATTGGAGATGGTCCAGGTAAATATGAGGTTGACATGAAACGTGTTGGTAAAGTTAATGAACTGTTCAAGCACCTCATGGGAGCACGAGGCAGCGCTGATACAGTCATCAAAGTAGCGGAGGAAGAGGTGAGGGATAGTGCTGGTGTAACAGCAGAAGAGGGTCTGTTCCATGTATCCTATGAAGAGGCAGGCATAGCTCGGACCCATACGGGTGTCCATAGCCACCGCTTTAGCTTGTAGGAAGTGGGAGGAGTTAAATAAAAGGGTGTTGAGAGTAAGGATAAGTTCTGTTAAGCAGATGAGGGTGTCGGTGGAGGGGGACTCGTTGGGCCTGTGGGAGAGAAAGAAGCAGAGGGCTTTTAGGCCATCTGCAGGGGGATACAGGCGTACAGGGACTGGATGTCCATGGTGAAGATGAGGTTTTGCTGGCCAGGGAATTGAAAGTCTTAGAGGAGGTCAAGGGCATGGGTAGTGTCCCAAACATAACAGAGGGCGCAGTAGTGGTATGGTGTACTGACCTCTATATCATAGAGGCCAGGCACCAACTCTCTGACATGTCCTCCTACTGCCCCCTCGATTATGACCCCACCCCTGATCACCAAACCATCATCTCTCAGATCTATCATAATCTTATCACCTCTCATCGCAGCCTCCAATATCATCGTTCCTCAACTCCAAACCTTCAGGTTCTATCTCCTTCCCAAAGTCCACAAACCTGACTGCCCCGGTCAACCCATTGTCGCTGCCTGCTCCTGCCCCACTGAACTCATCCCCGCTTACCTTGGCTCTGTCTTTTACCCCTGGTCCAGGAACTCCCCACGTATATTCACAACCACAGGTTGTGCTACACCTGCCCCTACACCTTCCCTCTCACTTCCATCCAAGGCCCAGGACAAACTTTCCATATCTGACAGGGGCTCACCTGTACATCCTCCAACCTGGTCTACTGTATCTATTGCTCCCAATGTGGCTTCCTCCACATTGATGAGACCAAACGTAGACTTGGTGACAGATTTGCAGAGCATCTGCGCTCTGTAACTATAATCAACAACACCTTCGATTGCTAACCATTTTAAATCTACCTCCCACTCCCTGGGTGACATGTCCATCCTGGGCCTCCTCCAGTGTCACAATGATGCCACATGCAAACTGGTGGAACAACACCTCATATTCTGCCTCAGGAGCCTACAGCCCAATGGCCTGAACATAGAATTCACCAGTTTTAAAATCTCCCCACCCTCAGCCTGATCCCATGTCCAACTCTCCCTCTCATCCCCGCCTGCTTGACCTGACACAACCTATCTATCTTCTTCCCCACCTATCCGACCCACCTTTCCCACTGACCACTCCCCACTGCCCGTACCTGCATCCATCTATCACCATCCCACCTACCTTCTCCCAGCCCCATCCCTCCTCCCTGTAGTTACTTTCCAGCTCCCTTAGCAGAACAGGTTGCAGAATGCAGTGTTACAAGGTTTTCAAGTAGATTTGTAGCTCGGGTTGTGGTTGTTGAGGTTGGTTGGCTCGCCGAGCTGGTTTGTTGTTCAGTGTTTGCAGTGTTACAGCTGCAGAGAAGGTGCAGAGAGAGAGAGATCAGAATTAACATTTGAGAGGTCCAATCAAAAGACTGATAACTTTGGGGAAGAAGCTGTTCTTGAATATGTTTATATGTGTATTCAAACTTTTATATCTTCTGCCCAATGGAAGAGGGTGGAAGAGAATATAACTGAGGTCAGAGGGGTCTTTGATTATGTTAGTTACTTTCCCGAGACTGTCGGAAGTCCAGATGGAGTCAATGGATGGAAGGCTGGTTTGCGTGATGGACTGGGCTGTGTTCACGACTCTCTGTTGTTTCTTGTCGATGTGGGAAGAGTACTTGCCATTCCACACTGTGATGCACCCAGGTAGAATGCTTTCTATCCTTTTGTTCATTAACGGGATGAGGGTGTCGCTGGCTAAGCAGTATTTATTGCCCATCCCTAAATGCCCAGAGGACAGTTCAGAGTCAACCACATTGCTGTGGGTCTGGAATCACATGTAGGCCAGACCAGGTAAGGATGGCAGTTTCCTTCCCTACAGGACTTTAGTGAACCAGATGGGTTTTTCCGACAGTCGACAATAGATTCATGGTCATCATTAGATTCTTCATTCCAGTTATTTTATTGAATTCAAATTCCAGTATCTGCCATGGTGGGATTCGAACCTGGGTCCCCAGAACATTATCTGGGTCTCTAACAGTCCAGCAATAATGCCACTAGGCCATCACCTCCATGAACGTGTATTCTATGGCTCATCAAAAAAAAAATTGGTAAGAGTCCTTGTGGATATGCCAAATTTCCTTAGCATCCTGGAATTAGAGACATTGTTGTGCTTTCTTTACCATTATGTTGATGTATGTGGACCAGGACAGATTGATGATCATCACTCCCAGGAACGTGATGCTCTCAATAATCTCCACCTCAGCAGCATTGATGCAGACAGGGGTGTGCCCTCCACTCCGCTTCCTGAAGTCCATGACCAGCTCCTTCACTTTGTTGATATTGATGGAGAGGTTGGTGTCTTTATACCATGCCACTAAGCACTCAATCTCTTTCCTGTATTCCGTCTCAACATTGTATGAGAATCTGACCTACAACAGTGGTGTTATCATCAAACTTGTAAATGGAGTTAGGCAGAATTCGATCACACAGTCGTGAGTGTATAAGGAGTACAGAAGGGAGCTGAGTACGCAGCCTTGCGAGGCAGTAGAAGTATTGAATTAAATGGATATAAAAGATTTTGCCATTTTATATTTTATATGCTGCCAGCAACAAATAAAATCTGAAGGAATTAGGGTCCACAATGTTAATTTTCAGTGCCAGAGAAGTTGACTGAAAATCTAAGAACTTAGGACTTAGGAGCAGGAGTAGACCATTCAGCCCTTTACGCCTGCTCTACCATTCAATAAGATCATTGCTGATTGCTTTGTGTTCTCAACTCAACTTTTCTGTCTGTCCATCATAACTCTCGACTCGGTCATCTATCAAAAATCTATC